CACTCTTCTTGTCAGTCAGCTCTCCTCACTGGAGAAATGTAATCTGATCTGTGATGCGACTCGTTCGGCACGCTGCATTGAGCAGCCGCGTTCAGTTTTTAACTGTAGTGTCTGTTCGTTTACTGAACTAAATTATTTTTATTTCTATAAAAAATCTAAACGACGGTGGGGGCCTGTGACGCGGTGGGCAAGTGGCTTAACTGGTGTTGCAGCTTAACACCGGTATCACCGTCAACACCGTCTATCGCAGCAAGCCTATAGGTAAGATGACATGAACGAGTGGTTCTATCATAAGCCTGCATAAAACAGTATACAATATAAAAGACAATATACAAGGACCGTAACAACATACACAATGACCTGAAGGATATGCGTGTTCATTCAAAGAAAGGTTTTCCTATGAATTAATTCGAGAACAGTCCATTTCTCTTGGCATTATGTGTCTGTCTTATTAGGAAAATGAGTGAGTTTCTCTATCCGCATTCCTTTGGGCAATAAAACCAGTGATATCAGCATTGGTTGCCATGGAATCAGAGGCCTGTTCGTTCCTGGCACCCAGCATGTTTATTGGGTGAGGGGTCTGTGACCATTTGTTAATCTAATGAATAATTGATTTGTTAAATCAAATGAAAAATGGTGTGTCTGATTGGTCCAGACGCTACACTCTACATGAGTATAGGATTTAGCCATATACAGAGTGGCTGCAAAAAGTCAAGAAACATCAAACCAAGTTGCATTGGCAAAGAAACGATGCAAGACCTTTTCCAAGAACTTTATGAGCCTTTTTACCAACTTGTCAAGTCAAGTCAAGTCACCTTTATTTATATAGCGCTTTTCCAGTCATTTCCCCTTAAGTCTGAATCAGAAAGTAAAGCCAGGTGCACACTTTTACTATAAGCCATGTCACATTGGGGGATCTCAGCTGTCATTAAGGCCAGACTGTACGATGGTCAAGACTCATTAAAAATGGACATACGCTAGAACAATCCATGACACGTTCTGTGATGGTGAGCCGCATTCACACATGGAATTTAATTGGTGGCAAGCAAACAAAAGCAGTCTCTAGATTTAATTTAGATCATGACTTGCCTTGAATAGAAAAAATTAAGACGATGTGTGTTTTTGCATTAATAAGGTCATCAGGTTCAATTTGATTTTAATGGTCATTCGTCGGCTGTCAATGGGCATGATTGAAGACTACAGATTTTGGACTAGAATCAGAGGAATGTTTAGGATTTGTGAGATTTGGAGAATCATGGCATACAGTGTGCACGCAGCTTAAGATAATTAGATGCTTTTAAAGGAGTCAACTCTCTCTTTCTAGCTTTTGCTTGTGGGTGCAGTGCGGATTGCAGATAAGGTTGAGTCGAGTAAGAGCTCTGTGGTGGTGCACTGCAGTGACGGCTGGGACCGCACAGCTCAGCTCACCTCTCTGGCCATGCTGATGCTGGATTCATACTACAGGACTCTCAGGGGCTTCCAGGTGCTGCTGGAGAAGGAATGGATCAGCTTCGGACACAAGTTTGCTGCGGTGAGGAACACTGAGTGTGAAAGAGAACCCATATATGTGACCCTGGAGCACAAAACCGGTCTTAAGTCGCTGGGGTATATTTGTAGCAATAGCCAAAAATACATTGTATGGGTCAAAATTATAGATTTTTCTTTTATGCAAAAAATCATTAGGATATTAAGTAAAGATCATGTTCCATGAAGATATTTTGTAAATTTCCTACTGTAAATATATTAAAACTTAATTTGTGATTAATAATATGCATTGCTAAGAACTTCATTTGGACAACTTTAAAGGCAATTTTCTAAATATTTTGATTTTTTTGCACCCTCAGATTTTCAAATAGTTGTATCTCGGCCAAATATTGTCCTATCCTAACAAACCATACATCAATAGAAAGCTTATTCAGTTTTCAGTTAATGTATTTTGAAATTGACCAAAATTACCCTTATGACTGGTTTTGTGGTCCATGGTCACATATGTGGGGTAGAAAACCAATTAACTGAAATTCAGTTAATCAGATGGGCATGTTATCAATGCTGGAAATTGTTTTGCTACTAGTGCTGTCAAACGGTTAATTGCGATTAATCGCATCCAAAATAAACATTTGTTTAAAAAAAATATATGCATATGTACTGTGTATATTTATTATGTACATATAAATACACACACATACAGTACATATTTTGAAAATATTTACATGCATAGGCTATATTTATATTCATATAATATATATTGTATCTAAATATATTTAATATATAAACCGAACATATTTTTCTGAAATGTATACATGCATGTGTGTGTGTACTTGTACAGGTGCATCTCAATAAATTAGAATGTTGTGGAAAAGTTCATTTATTTCAGTAATTCAACTCAAATTGTGAAACTCGTGTATTAAATTCAATGCACACAGACTGAAGCAGTTTAAGTCTTTGGAAAAAATAATTTTTGGATTAATTGTGATTAATCGTTTGACAGCACTATTTGCTACTCAATATTTTTCTGCAAAACATTGTTTTTTTCAGGATTTAAAAGGAATGGAAAGTTTAAAAGAACAGCATTTATTTGAAATAGAAATATTTATTACAATTATAAATGTATTTATTGTCATTTGAATATACTTGCTGAATGGAAGCATTCATTTCTTTTTAAAAATCTCTTTTTGTCATAGCGTGTTGGTCACGGAGATGAAAATCATGCAAACTCTGAGCGCTCGCCTCTATTTGTGCAGTTCATAGACTGTGTTTGGCAAATGATGAGACAGGTGAGCTGCAACTTTTTTGCTTTCTAACTTCTCTAACATTTTTATTTATAGTGAAATGTTTGTTTAAAATGTTATGTTTGTGTTTGAGCCTAATTCCTGTGAATTCCCATGAAATGGATGCTGGTGTTTTGGAACTCACTGTGAATGTCTTTATAATGTGTTCGCAGTTTCCCACTGCCTTTGAGTTTAATGAGCTCTTCCTCATCATTATCCTGGATCACCTCTACAGCTGTCTGTTTGGTACATTCCTTTACAACAGCGAACAGGAGCGAGTGGAAAAGGTATGTGCCACAGTGCCAACACTGGGAGGGGGAATAGTAGTAGTTTTGATGGACTAGAGATGTTCCAATGCTGACATTTGCACTGTTTTCAGGAAGTGAACAGTAAAACGGTGTCTTTGTGGTCCTACATCAATACCCAGCCAGAGGACTTCACCAACCCCTTCTATGTGGACTATGAAAACCATGTTCTATACCCTCTGGCCAGTCTCAGACATTTGGAGCTCTGGGTTGGATACTACGTACGCTGGAACCCCCGCATGAGACCACAGGTGCAAAATGTTCTCAACACATTAGCTTAAGCAATGCATGGGATTGCTAGTTTACTAAAACTAGAGCTTTTATAGCTGACACCAGCTCTTTTTGACTTTTGATCAGATGCCTGTGCACCAGAACCTGAAGGAGCTGCTGTATCTTCGTGCAGAGCTACAGAGGAAGGTGGAGGAGTTACAGAAAGAAGCATCTTCATCACGTTCGATCTCCTCTTCATCAGAGCATGCGTATTCTCCTTCAAATGGCGGTACACCTCTACACACCTCTGTGTAAAGTACATGCAACACTCACATTAGGGAATTCATCATTAACAGAATGTGTAGGTTACAGTAAACATAGTAATGTGAAGTCTATTGGTCGTTTCTCACTGGATAATGCTTTGGGCAAGATGTAGCTATAGAGGCCCAGTACATACACTTGTGAAAACTTGCATGAACACCCAAAAAAAGGACAGTCTCCCACACAATTCAGGTTCATTTCGTTTGTGTGGAACTGCTCTTATAGACTGATAACCAGGAAAGCGTTTGATCGTAATTGAGTTTATAAAAAATATGCCAGTATTTTCACTTGCTTTTAACTTGACTTGTAATTATTGACACAAGTTTTAATAATTTATTTGTGTGTAGTCAGGGTAGTATGAGCATCTTTTTTTATCTCACAGCATTTCTGTAGTTTTTGTGTAATAGTTTTTCATTACTTTTTTTTTTACTCATTTTTTTTTTTTTGAATTGCTATTGCTTTTGCGATACTGCCAATTTGAAGCCACATACTGTTTTTGTTTTTCTGTAGCACTTGTTGGTAGGAAAGTGGAATTGGGTTTTAATGTGCACACCCTACTACTGCACTACTTCTGTACTTTCATGTACTACTGAAATTAATGTTTACACAAGGTAAATAGGGACCGTCTTATATGTATATATCCACTCATTATTGATTAAGCAAGTGCAAATAATTTTTTTTTTTATCTGTGAATCGCTCCCATATTTAAGCCATTCCTATTTAATTGGAATCCTGTGTTTTGACATTACAAATGGTCAACAGTTCAGATCATTTGAACAGGGGATGCCATATAATGTTAAAACAAATTATATGTAATAATCATTATGCACCTTAAAATGAATATATTGTGTATTTGTTTAGTTTTTTTTTCTTTTATGAGTGTATTTTTGTATTTGTGCAACCCTGGTTATTCTGTACACACACATTTTTTACTTCTGTAAAAAAAAAATTGACTCCAGAAACTTGCAACCTGACTCGATGAAAAATAAATAGGAAGGAATCAAAGACAAGATAAATTGTTTATTATTGGGTTTCTTTATGCCGATCTTTTACCACCAAGTGAGATACAGAGTGAAATTTGAGTACATTTGAATATTAAAATGTCTAGAAGAGGATTGCCAGTTGAAATCTGTGCAATTAATTGTGTTTTTATCACAGTCTGTATTTGAGTGAGCAGGCACTGATGAATAAACTGTGTGATTTTATGCTGAAAGTCAGTATTTCTGAGGTTCACATCAAAGCCAAATTTCAGTTCATTCAATGACAGCTAAAGCTACAGCATTACAGTCTGATCTGTGGCAGTACCATAAACTGGCAGTGCAAATCAAGACACTTCAGAAACGTATGTCCCAATAACACATTTTTCAAGTTAATAAATAAACCCAGTACACAAGAAAAACCTTTAATATCTACAGCTAGAATCCAAAACATGCATATCTGTACAGTTCAGCGCGTACACCCTTGTTTTGACAAAATTGCAACTATACTGGCCAAACGACACCAGAGAGAGCCCAGAGATCCTTACAAATGCAACATCCACCATATGAACTACTAGTACCCAGAAATGTAGATGGTCAATTGAAGGAATTAGGGAGGTTTTAACAGTCACATAATGCGTCCACAGCAACAAATCTGTAAGCAGTTCAACACAGGTGATAATGTTGTCGAAAATGTTCAAGACACTTGTGAATTTCCACATTTGCCTTAACCAAGACCGTTGTACCTTTCACTCAGCTGTTTCAAATTCATTCCACTGGATCACTAGACTCACACCAAAGTCAAAGAACATGCAAAAAGGCAAAACCATCACATTTCATCTTTGGTGTTCTTCATTTCTAACAAGTGTAGCACCAAAAAAGCTACATTGTTCTGGTAGCCAAAGCAGTAAAAAGAGTTACATTCAGCTAACATTCTCTTTGTTGATTTTCACCCTAGATACTCTACCAAAGCCTTTGGTAGGATGCACCTTTAAAGGAAAGTACCAGGCAACATTCTGTGCACGATATGTCTTTGACATCATTACCATTCGACTCGCAAATCTGCTTTATCTTGGGTGTGTGAGTAAACAATATTTCAGATGTGTTTAAACTGCAATAGTGTTAAGGTGAGGTCACATTTACCGTTGCTCGGCATTTAATTTTTTTTGCATGCATAATTTCAACAAGAATCCATGTGATCAGGAATTTTACACGAGGGCAAATGATTTCGGCGTGCAGAATTCGCAATGCAAGTTAGTCACACAAATCAACAGAAAGCCATGTGGTTTGAAAGTGATTTGCGTGAGCAAACAGCATTTGACGCTGCACATTTTTGCCTGCGAAATTTCAGAGAATTTGACCACACCTTTGAACTGGAACAACGTACGTAACCTAGTACGTCTAGTTTGTAGACATTCAAGTGAAGCAGCCCTTCTAACGGTCGTGACTGTTAGTGCTGTGTTAGTAAGCTAGCGTGTCTTCCCTAATGTTAGCGTGGTAAGGCATTGGGAAGGAAAGCACCATTGGCGAGGGCTTGGGTTGAGGGTAACAAAGGTGCACCTGAATTCACAGTGAAAAACAACAGCTACAGGAAAATCTGGAGCATCTCAAGTGGGGGAGAGGATGGTAAGGACTGATCCGCTTTTTAATCCGGTTTTGCTAATTTGCCATTTCTAGATGGTGGCCTTCCAAATCAGGAGAAATGAGGGCTCTGGTCAAGCTCAGACCCTTGGCAAATGAAGTGGGGGAAATTAGCAAAACGGGAAAGCAGCTGGAGACTCATTAAGGCAATAGCAAAACTAGCGAGGGTGTAACAGGTCTCTAAGAAGTCTCAAAGCTAAAGCTCAAACATGCTACAAATGATACAGACACTAAGCTAGGGCGAAAAAACTACTCCCCGTAATCCAAAAAGAGTGGGGGGCACAAACATTTATGTACATTTACTGCTACAAGTGTAAATAGAGATACACTGATACAACGGTTTTGAGTACAAACTTGGAAACGGTATGCGATATACAAGCACATTAACCCCTTAAAACCCCACAAAAGGCGATGGATCAGAATTAGCGATACGAAGAGTTACTAGACTAAGTATTGCGCCTAACATGAAAACACAACTTCGGTTACTTCCACCCACAAGTTACTTCACGCTAATGTATCTACTCGTTCTGATCACGCTGAATCAAACTATTCCTCAAAAGAAGGAATCGCAACCACTGACATCCAACTAACACGCACAAATGCAGTCAACACGGCTTCTTCATCAACACACGTCAACACATCTTCACAGTTAAACCAATTTTAGTCATTGTTTCATTTTTTTTAAAGCAAATTAGAAGGAAGCAGCTGTTGGTTAGTTTTTGACTTCAGGTGTTCGTCTTTTTTGTTTTTTTTTTCCTCAAAAAGTCACTCTAGTAAAAAGTTTACTAAGACACAAAAACCTGCATATGTGTGTAACAATCTTTTCACATTGCTGTGAAAGCAAGGCAAATATATACAGATCATGTTAAAACATCAACAACAAGAACAACAAAAACCTTCACAAATCCTTCATCTTTTTTTTCAATTGCAGATTCCACAGCAACTGGTCTGTTAAGCCTGTCTTGCTGTGAAAGTGTAAGGAAAACGACCTTTAAAATCAGATTTCTATGATCATCCAATCTGCTGTTTTTGTAAACCTTGGATTAATCACGCGTATCACATTAATATGCATTTGTGCACAATAGGAATGACGGGCTAAACTGACAAACAAAAAGACTGTAGCGCAGTGTCTGTAGGACTCTTTGTATGGGCCTCTGTAAAAAGACCCAAGTGTGATTTCTTGGGTCTCGGCAGATCATGTGAAAATAATTAGGTGTTTTCCATTTCATAGCAATATTATTGCAAACAGGCTTACTACATTGTTGCATGTGAACAGTTAAAATAGAATTTAAAAAAATTATTAGACTATATTTAAGGTTGATTTAAACAGTCACATTGGTACTTCAAAAAGGGCATTGTGGTGCAAATGCGCTGGGAAATACAGTGGCATTCAAATTGGAGAACAACGATTTAGAACTGCGCCCTCTTTAGTTTGGATGATGCATTTCAGATTACACTGCATTTTCCTCTGTCGGCGGCTCAGCATTGGGAGGCTGGAGAAGAGTTTGTTGAACTGGAGTAGGAAGGAAAATAATGCAATTATTAATCATTCTGTCAAGTACACACACACACACATACACACATATATATATATATATATATATATATATATAAATCTATTGCAATTTTAAGACTAATTTAAGGTGTACTAAGTTTAAAGAAAGTTTTTCTATCATTGAACATAAATTGTAGGTGATAATTGTGCTAGTGAATGGCATCCGTAACCAAAAACTTTTTTGCGCCATACTACATCCACGCCAGTAAGTGTCAGTCTAAGACCACAATTGTTTAGAAAAATGAACAGAAGGAATGAAAATTTTACAAAAAAAAAATTTGTAATTGGGAATAAAAATACAATTCACCACTGGCAATATGGGGAAGTATGGTCTGGCAGACTTTTACTGGCAAATAATCTTAAAATCCCAACAATAAAAAAAAGCACATAGTTCATTACTTATTCTACCGACATTGTAACAATACAAAGCTAGTTATAAATCTACGAATGTACCCTTTAAAGAGCAGGTCATATGGGTTTTTGAAAAATATCTCTTTTGCAGTTTATAATGTAGCTATCCTTAAATGAAAACAATCTGCAAAGTTGTTAGTCAAAAAAGTGCTCGATAAATAAAGATATTGTCTCTCAAAAGAGAGAGTCGATTATGAATCGCCTTAACGAGTCGTCATATTTTCAAATCTTTTGCCTGTTACCGGTATACGTCACTGGGTAACACATTTGCATAATCTCCACCTGCCCGCAGATCTGACCTGCCCACTTCCGCTAGTTAGTGTGTTTACATCATGTCGAGAAGACGCCGTGTTCATGGATAACACAGAAATACAATTTGAACCTTTTGTTGTGTGCTCGTCATTTTACCGAGGACTGCTTCTCTAATCTTGACTTTTATCTTCGTCGGCTTCTAATCTTCTTTATTTGGACTAACAAGCTTTCCGAACCACAACCTGTAAGTATGATTGATACGTTATGTGTACATTTTCAATTGAGTGCTCAAAAGTTTTTTTTTGCTAACATGTGATGTACACCTAGTGCAGCTTTAGGTTTCCAGGTAAAGCAAGATATTACTGTCTTACTGAATAAATAGTTCTGATAATTCGCTGTGAACCCACTATTTCCTAAGAATGTGTCGATTAATGTAGACTGAAGTTGTTTTAATTACTTCGTTTAATAATAAAGAATGTAGTGTAGCGCACAGAAATTGCTGTTTATTTTGCTGCACCGGTGTTCTGACGATTTGTGCTACCCCGTCAGATTTTGCTACCTCCCATTAAAACAGATGGTAGCATAATTCGATAGCGAAAAGTGCTACCTATCAGATTTTGCTTCCAGCATGATATTAATAAGGTGTGAGGCTTTATTAAAATTTGTAATTGGGAATAAAAATACAATTCACCACTGGCAATATGGGGAAGTATGGTCTGGCAGACTTTTACTGGCAAATAATCTTAAAATCCCAACAATAAAAAAAAGCACATAGTTCATTACTTATTCTACCGACATTGTAACAATACAAAGCTAGTTATAAATCTACGAATGTACCCTTTAAAGAGCAGGTCATATGGGTTTTTGAAAAATATCTCTTTTGCAGTTTATAATGTAGCTATCCTTAAATGAAAACAATCTGCAAAGTTGTTAGTCAAAAAAGTGCTCGATAAATAAAGATATTGTCTCTCAAAAGAGAGAGTCGATTATGAATCGCCTTAACGAGTCG